AAGAAACCAACCCCTCTCTCCCCATTCCCCAAAGGGGACGACAGATGCCTCGACCAGGTATCCGAAACTTGCCAAACTTTCAATTACCAGCGGTTTATTTTACGGACCTGGCTGCGGACCTCGTTACGAGAATCACGCGAGTACGCGTTTAATCATTCTCATCCAATCTCTCTTAACCATACCCCAAAATACTCCAAAATCGTTTGAATTATATTCTTCGAGGAAAGTTGACAGTTTAATTTCGAACTCGTAATGATCGAGTTGACTCGAGCTATAATAATATAAATAATTAGAGGAATACGAGTACAGGGGGTTAAAATCGTTAAAATTTACAAGAGGATCGAGGCAATCGAAACGAGACGAGGAAAGATTTTCGAATTGGAAGTCGAAGAATGGGAAGAAGAAGTCGCGTAGGTGAGGATCGATCGTGAGAGAGGAACGATGGCGAAGATACGGGCTGGAATGCTGGGTTGGAACGAAGGATACTTCCTCGAACACCGTTCGATTAGAATTACCGTCAATCCCAGCCTGCTCTGACATAAATACCAGAGATACACGCGTGCACTCGGTCGAACACGGGCTCACAATGGATCGACACAGAACTTTGGAGCCGCCTTCGCGTCCCACAGACCTTTGCAGCTATTCACCGCCGCCTGGACCTTCGATAATTCCGAAACGATCTGGTCATTAATCGCCGTGGTTCGATAGATCCACGCGAGCTATGCAATCGGCGTTGTGTGACTATTGCGCCTCGTTGCGCGAATATAGAAATAGATAATAGCTGGAATTCTAGCTAGAAAACGAAATAACATTTCAATTATTACTTTCAATCTTTCGAGAAAATCTTTTTCTCAAATCTTCCGTTTCAATGCTTCTTCGCTCGCTGTGCAATTTTATTCACTTCTCGTAGCGAATCATAGTATCGTATATCCTAAACTTTGTATCGTTTCGATTAATGACAGCCTTCCCGAAGAACGCTCGATCCGCGTTAATTTCATTAACAGAAATGCAACGGCCCCGGCGAGCAATACGTTTCAACCCGTTTCCTCGCCTTCCACCCACGCGCGCGGCAGCTTCAAAGCCACTCCTTCCCCTCGATCAACGGCTACCACCGCACCGAATATACACGCACACACACACACGCGCGCGTACGCACGCACGCGCGCGCGATCGTTATGAAACAAAGAACAGCGTAAATTTACCGGCCACCTTGTATTCCGTTCCCTATCCGCGACACCCCTCCGTCGGTGTCCTCCTCCCCATCATGGACTGTAATCCTCCCTACGAAACTTAGATCAATATGTTGCGTCACGTTTCGCCCCCCTGCACGCCGCCCGACATCCATCCTCCGCCACCCACACCTTCGTCCACCCCGCGCTTCATTCCTGACCCCAGCCCCCTACCCTGAACGTGACGTCACGCAGGGACGCGCCCCATTCATAGGCTCTCTCCCACGCAGAGAGACGGAACCGCGGTGGCCCAAGAGAAATCGAAAGAAAGAAGGGAAAGGGGGAAGACTCGAAGAAGAAGGAGGAAAGGTTTGATGCGTAATAGGGGAGGAAAAGAAGGAGAAGGAAAAAAGGAAGGAAGTAAAAAAAAAGAAAAAAAATCGAGGATTCGTCCGTTCAAACTCTGAAATCGGATTAATCGAAGAAGCATTTCGTTCTTGGGTGAGAAAGCTCGTGTAATTGAACGAATCTCGCGCGTATCGTGCCTCGCCCCTCTCTCTCTCTTTCTCTTTCTCTCTCCACAGTCAGCGCTCCCCAAAGAACGTACGAGCGTTTCGTTCCAGCGGATCGATGATGTCGTAACGCGCGCCGTGACGTTTATCATCGTACTTGCGTGTGGCCTGGCTGGCTCTGTGTATGTATGTATGTATGTGTGTGTGTGTGTGTGTGTGTGTGTGTGTGTGTGTGTGTGTGTGAAGAGGGAGGGGAGAGTTACGCGTTCACCGGGTGAAACCGCTGACACGCACGTGCCGTCTCTCTTCTTTTCGGCCTGTCCTATATTTTTCGGGTGTATTAAACCGGGGAATTCCTCGAAAACACGGGGGATTGGTTATCCAGCGAGAGGAAGTTGAAGAACGATCGATGGAATCTCCTGTTCGCGAGCGAGACGTAAGGAAGTATCTGGCTGGCGCGAGATATTTCCATCTGGAAGTATTACAAAGGGGGAAGGCGTTGAATCGAAGATTAAATATTTTCGAAAGTATCGTAAATTGTTGTTGCTCGCGAGGCTCGCTTTAACCGACTGCATAGCCGATCTTCCGTTTCTTAAGCCGCGGCAAAGTACGACGAAAGCCAATAAACTTGCAGGAAGTTGTAAACCGAAGTTCCTCGCGTCTGCCTCTATTATTATACCATCCCCCGGCCGAGATGAAACACGCGCGCGTACATATTCCCTGTGTACGTACGTGTATGTTTTCTCCGCTCCCCGGATGCGCCACTTTCAAAAACGAAGTTAAATTACTCCCCTCGCCTCCCCTCGCGTAACAGAATCGAATAAATGGAATCGTGGCATGCCCGAAGAATCGTTGACTAAACTACTGTCACCGTTAATCGAATTACTCGTTCCATTCCCGGATTCCCTCTCTCTCTTCTTCTTTTCTTTTTCTTTTCTGTTTTTTTTACACACACACACACACACACACACACATATATATATATATATATATACAGAAAATTTCTCCTCCTATTGTTTCAAAAATAAACTTGCGATCAATGGAAAATTCATGAGATTAATTGTATGATATAACATCGGGGCGAAGTTTCGATGATCAATTCAATTACCAATCGAATATCTTATCTTACAATCTTGTTCCAACATTTCGAAAATAACTTTCGATACGATTAATTATAACAACAACAATCCAACAACAAGCTCTCCATCGTATCCATCGTTTCCATTTATCCAATTATCATCGATATCGCTTCAACAAGCGAGAAAGTATCGAAGAATGGAGCAAGAGAAATAAAATCCTCGAGGAATGCGAGAAGGAAGACCATCCGTCCCTCCCTCCTTTCCTCCCTCCCCCTTTCCCTTCCCCCCATTGATGATGAAAATCCTATCGAAATCGAGCGATCCGTCCAGGGAAATAGACGGCGCAAAACAGGCGGGAAACGCTATTTAACGATGGCTTTAACGCCCACATACGCTACACACGCGCGCGTCCGCGATAAGGGTTAATTGGTATAGCCAACGGAGAAAAGGGGGGTCGGGGGGGAGGGGGGGGGGGCAGAGTGCCGCTATAGGTCAATTATTTCCACGTATTTCAAGCGTGCGCGACGATACGCGGCCGTTATCGTCTTTCCCGATACCCGACCCCGCTCTTAATTGTTTCCAGGAAGCTGACATTTTCCACCGGCGATCTCGCCTGCACTTTTAACCGCCGGCCAGCCCGGGGGAGGAGGGTGGTGAAGTCGCGACAAAGACGTGTTTCGAAATCCTTCCTCCTCCTCCTCCCCCCCCCCCTCCCGCTTAGAGAATAAATGGGCCGTCCTCAAGACGCGATAAATCACGGTGGCGCGGATCCAATTTTCCTCGCGAACATCGAGAGGATGGAACTGCGTGAAATCGGTGGAATCTTCGATAACGCGAGAACGGGACCTTCCTACGCCATTAAACGCCTCTTCCACCGCTATTGCCTTCGACATCGATCTAATTTTTCAACGTTTCTTCTCTTCCCTCCTTTCCCTCCCTCTTTATCATTATTATTATTATTCTGTATTAAACAAAGAAAAATTTCATGTTCCAGGCTGGTTCTTGGTAAATGTTGGTAGATCGATGGAAAAATGTGTAAATCTTTTTTTCCGAATTAACCTCGGATCTCGATCTTTTATTTTATTTAGAGATATATTTGTTCGCAACGAGGAATGCGAGTTCCATTTGAGAAATGTATGGCGAGATAATAGTTGGAAGGAGAATCGGGTATCGTCTTCGTTTCTGCCACCCCCAAGATCCCATTGATCAGAGTTATATCGGTGGGGGTGGAGCCAGTGACTCTGGTTTTCGGACCGGTTTTCACGCCATCGATTCGCGTGGGGGACCTTCGCGTGCACGATCGACAATCTCGTTTATCGACCTGCGATGACGTCTCTCCTCTCTCCTACTCTCGCGCCTAGATTATTTTCTAGAAGTTTAACGAATCCTCGCATTGTCGTTCGAGCGAGCATACCGCGCAGGGGAAAATTCGTTGCGCAGACCGGAAAAAAATAAAGTTGAACGATCGATTTGCAATTAAGGGCGACGACTCGAATATTTTCGCGCGTCTAAGGAGAATTTATTTGGATTTTCCCAGGGGCATGAAAAGAACGCGAGCCTTGAAATGTCACGGGAGGCAAGGCGTTTCCGGTGCTCGCGTACCGAATCGTCACAGAGGATTCTCCTTTGATCCCTTCATTTAGGTAATGAATCTTTTTTTGCTCGCGCTAGATCTGACCGGCGACAAATAAAACTTGTGATCCCTCAAAGCGTAGATGTTCACTAAATTTAAGTAGCTTCCCCGTAATTAAAAGAAAAATAGCGGATTATCCTGCCACCTTGCGCTTTGAAACTCTTTTTAACCAAGTCCAATTAAAAAAAAAGTAAAAGTAACGCGTTTAAAGCGTTTCGAAAAGCGTAATTTCGAAAAACACGAAGACTTCGAGAGAATCTTTCGTCGATTGCGCAATCGTCGATATCGATGCAAATATCGCGTTGGAAACTTGAAAGGACAGGCAGTGGTGATACGATACGAGATAACCAATATTCAGGCCGGTGTATCCGCGGAAAGTTCAACGACAGCGGATCGAATACGGAAAGTTGGAGGCAATTAGTCGGTCTGAACACCACCCTTGAGTGTCGGGGCGTGAAACGCGAGCGTAAAAGGAAAAACGGTGGGGAATTAGAGCGAGGAGAGGGCTCGATTCCTTCGGATAATATATCTTTGCCGTTTCTTTTCCGATCTCTCCCCTACCTTGGTCGAGCGTAGAGTGACCTTTCCGCCGCAGCGTGCGCAGCACCGGATGCTGCAGTAGTTGCAGATGTGACCGACGCCGTCGGCGAACTTGGTTTTCAGGCATATGTGACACGTGGCGTGCAGCTCCACTCCCGCCTTCTTGTGTTTCTCCGAGCAGGCACGTATCCTTTCCTCGAGGATCTTCACCTCGTCCTGCTTCCGTCTGCAAACGATAAGGAAGAATAATTAATCCATCTCGAGGAACGAATGAAACGAAAGAAACGAAGGATTTAGGATTCGAAGGAGAAGAGATCGATATTGGAAATGTTGAAAAGAACATTGGTTCTCCTCCTTTCGGTTACGATGAAATCGTATTCCGATGGTATTACGATCGATTTAAGAGCATTATTTCATCGCGTTTCTTTCATTCGAAACACGGGAACCGATGAAACAAGAGGAATCGCATTTAGAAACAGTCGACGTCGTATGCAAATTACAGGCTAAACCAGACGCACGTTGCATTCGAGTAGGAATTGGTCGAAGAAGAAGAAGAAGAGAATTCGGATGGGAAGACGTTTTCGTATCCAGCCTCGTATAAATATGTAAACGCGTGTGTATGTACGTACCGTGTGCATTCTAACAACCCTTTCTTCTTACGTAGCTTCGAGAATGGATAGGAAGTGGAAAGGAGAAAAACGGAGGAGAAAAAGCGAGCTTCTTCGAGCGTGGGAGGTTGGTTTCAGAAGAGTCGAGGATCCGCCATTAGACTCCTCGATAATTACGGATCCTCAATTTTCGGAGGTTTCGGAGGGTCGAACAAAGCTAAGATACAGAGAGATCCGTCTCTTTCCCTCTTACTCCCTGGCCCGCCATTAAAATTCACCCGACAATCGTCCTTCGTCGAGCCGAGATTTTTCTGCAAATTGCAGCAACGGCGTCGCTCCACTTTTATCTGCCCCCGCCGTGATTTCGTTTACTAGCCACCAGCTACTACTTAATTCCAACCGCGTAACTAATTCGCAGCGCGACGTTTTTTTAACCCTCGCTCGTTTCCGCTTTCACCGATAATTTTCCAGATTCAAGAGACCGAAACAACCATCGATTTTTCATCGTTACAACCGAGATTCTCCGAGATTCTGACATCGAGTGGAGAGTTTATATATCATCGTAGATATGGAGATATGGAACAAACAAAGAAGATTGAGTTCGATAAGTAACGGAATCGTCGATCCTCGTGCGAATGCACTCTTATTATATCGTACACTTTAGAAACTAGATGTCGACTATAGTCTTCCTATTTATGCATCGTATGAACGATCGTAGACTCTTCCTGTCGATAGAACCGGGATAGAAGATAACAGGTGGCAAAGAAATTTTATTCTATCTATCAATCCGATGCAGGGGTATAATACGGTCGATGAAAAATACGCGCTTTCCACCTTGTTCTACGACTATCTATTCTCGAACGATCCGTTAAACGATGTTGGAGGAAAGGGACTTTGTTATATTCGATTTGAAGAAGTGGTGTGGAATCATTCGCGAAAAGGAAGAAGGGAAACGATACCGTTCGATTAACAGCGGAGAGTATTGTCGAGTACTTGCAGTTAGAGTATTTGCAATGGTCAGACTTTAATACCGGAGAGTCGATTTATCGGCGAGGTGGTTGAACTGGAATGGAATGTGACCGATGTCATCGATTTATTCTATCTACAGCCAGCTTAGTACGTATTCGAGACGACGAGAAATTCTGATACGCTCAATCTGTACGTAGCAATTCCCCAGCTCTCCGTCTCCTTTCCAATTTCGTAATTTTAACGAACGTGCGACAAGAGAATTTTCTTTGAGAAGAGCGGTACTCGTAAACAATGTTAACCACTCTAATCACAAGGGATGAAGATGACGAGCAGGCCCGGGAAAGATAGATCTGCAAGCCAAGTAGGTTAGGGAGAAGATGGACGAGATGGAGGAAAATGAAAGACAGGAATACTTGGCACGAGGCAACGAGCTCCAACCATCGCCACAAAGCATTCGGTCTGTCTGGATCGCGTGTACGAAGGAAAGTTGAGAATCGCGAGGGTTGTTGGCACCAACGGTTTCGAACTTGGATCCCCGTGAAATAGACGCGAGCGAACAAATTCCGTCGAATTCCTTTTGATCGTTATCCACCATTAGCTCCTCACAGAGGGAAGGAAGATCCGCCTATATTAAATACGTAGACGACAGTTGATGGAGTTTCGTAGCGGAAATTTGCATGGAAACAGTAGCGAGCGGCTACGAGCGGTAACCTAAATCTTGAGTTTGCCGATCGAGTCAAAGGTCGTAGCTGCATGTCACAAAGTATATATATATATATACACGTATAAAGACACATAGTGTACGTGCACCCGCCCACGTTACTCTAATTGCTTTACCAATAATCGCGCGCGACTCACGAACACGCGACGACGATCGGTCGCGTTGCAACCGCGTTTCGTCGAGACACGATTTATCTGGGGAGGAGAAAAAAAAGAAAAAAAAATTCTCCCCCGACGAAAGAGGAGCAGATCAAAGGGAGAGAGAGGAGCAGAGGAGCGCAGAAATGTAGGTTACTTAACGAACACCAACCGTGATTTACGCGCGACTTTTCCGTCCCACAAAATCCGCGCTACGCGACTTTTCACACGATGTCCCCGGCTACGTGCCTCGCCTCGAACAAAGAGTCTCCACCCCCTCCCCGATCTTTGCTCGACACGTCGAAACTTCCGCCCGTTAGAGTCGCCGCTTCGTATTTTTTTCTTCCTTTTTTTTTTTTTTTCACGCCTCAAACTTTACGCCTCGTCCATTGTACGCGAGTTTTACAATATCTACGGATGGAAGAGGGGGGGAAAAAAAAAGAAAAAAATATCGAAGAACGACAATTGTTTTACACGACATGTTAATGTGAAAGGTGGGATTGGTTGAAAACGATCCGACGTCGATTACATCAGAAAATTATATCGGTGGGCTCGCACGCACGCACGCTTGGCCAGCCTAAAAGGGGATTGAAGAAGAAAGGTTACGCGTCTATTTTTGCGCGTGTTACCTTCGGATGCGGCGACGAGATCCGTGGAGCGAGGACTAAAATTATCATCGCGATGTCAAAGAGGGCTGGGGTACTCGAGGGAGGGGGCGAGCAACGTAACCCACGTAGCGATAATCCCGGGGCTACCGCGTCAAAACGCGCGCCACCACCCTATCGCGCGTGGGCCCAGCCTTCTGTATTTCAGGATCCAAGAATTTACCGTGGCAATCCAACCCCTTTCACACTCCATCCACGGATATGCATACCCTATGCATACCCTGTGCAACTACAGCAGCTCGTTACCGAGCCACGTCAAGGCTCGCTGCCTTGCATTTTACATGCGTCCCTACACGTACTTGTCGTCCACATTACATGATCTCGCATCGGTATGGCGAAGCACGCTTTCCTCATTACTCTCTCTCTCTCTCTCTCTCCTTCTCTCGTTCTTCTTCTTCTCTCGTGTCTACCCTCCTCCTCTCTCTCTCTCTCTATCTCTTTCCCGATTCACTCCTCTTTTATCCCCCGTGTTCTTTGTCTCCTTCTCTCTGTCTCGCATTGGCTCACCCTTTCTCCTCTTTCTCTCTCTCTCTCTCTTTCCTACTCTATGTCTGTCTCCATTCCCCGCTCGACTGGTTTCTCACGTTCCCGTTTTCCATCAGCGACAACCTATCAATAAAACGCCTTCCTCGAAGAACACCGTCCATTTTCCTCGGCGTCGCCTCGCTGCGACTCTGGCACCGTAATTACATGCGAATGAGGCTGCTGGCGCATCCATCACCAGCTGCCTCTTGCAAGTAGGTAGTAGGTTGCCTGTTAAAAGGGTCAGTTTTCGTTGATTCCTTTCGGCGTTGGATGGAAAAGTTTAAGGCAGGGGTGGAGCAGTTTGTCGAGATTTAAAACGGATACCGTTTCGAGCGAGATTAAAAGGAAACTTTTTATTCTCGAGTTCAAAACTTCATTATTCATTTTGAATAATTTGATTTGGATCGAAATAATAAATTTTTGTTTTATTTAATAATTGAGACTTATTGAGTATCGAAGCGAGGTAGATCGGAATAATCATCCGAGGTAACGGAATGAATATCTAAATGGGGAATAAGGGAAGATGCGATGGATATAAAACGGTCAAGGACTAACGAGCAGGTAAAGTGGAGAAAATAGGCGGAAAGCCGTCGGAGGGGACTCTGGTCAAGAAATACACGTATTGGATCGATCGGGCATCGTTTCGCTCGTTCAGTAATTCTGATCAACGACGCGTGACCGTCCATGGTCACATTTTTTGTAGCTCTGCCTAGCCTGCCAGACCATTCAGACTTTATACTACTTGCCGACGTGCTATTTCTTCGCCCCCGGATTTGCTCGTTTTTTCGTTTATCGTTTAGAGAGACAATGCAAAGGCATCTGATTTTCCTCGACGAGGAAGGCGATACGGTGCGCGTGCAAATAAAGAAAAAAAAAAAAAAAGTAACTATGGCAAAAAACTAGGCGTAAAATTGATAAAAGCGAACGTTCTTTAGAAATCATTTTACGTTTTTCATTTTCGAAGCGAGTTGAAAAAAGAAAAAGATATTTCTAATAAAAAAAAAAAAAAAAGAAAAAGAAAAAATATATATATTTCGCATATCACATTCTCTCACTATTTGTTACCATTCTCTTTCTTCTTGATAGACCAAAGACGAATCGATGCATCGTCTCTTTTTCATCTCATCATTGGATAAAATAAATGCAAAGATTATGTGTCTTTAAAAACTTCTTCCACATAATTACAATATGATGATTAAAAAAGAAAGGAAGATTAATAAAGGAAAGAAAAAAGCGTGGAAATAAGTAAATAAATAAATAAAGCAGACGCAGATAGGATATCAACACTAATCCCAGCATCTCATTATCGGAGAGAAAAAAAGGATGGATGGAAAAAACCGACCTACCTCATAATCTCATTTTCCTTCTCCTCCTCCTGCTTCTGCCTTATTATAACCTCCTCGATGGTGCTCCTCTCCTCGGGGGTGAGGTGCGACATATCAGGTACAGCCGCCATCACGGACGTAAGATAGGAACGTGCACGGGAAGCTCTAGTCGCGAGGAATTTAGCGCGACGCGCGGGCCGGCGCAGCACCGACGACGCCGCCGATGAGGTACCGCGACGAGGATCGCTCGCCGCGCGATAACGCTCGTTCCTACGGGATATCGCGTCCTTTCTACGACTACGGGAAAGCTGTAGCGTACGGGGGGAGTCATCCGACACCTGGTAATCGGCGCAGCTGGCCACGACAACACGGGTACGCCTTCGGCGAGCGTAGATTACGCCGTGCTCGCGCTTTTGCGTCCTCCACTGATTCCTGCTCTTCGCGCTCCTGCTTCTGTCGTTTCGTTCCTTCACGCGTCTGTTCTTCTTCTTGTTGATGATGTTGTTGTTGTTGTTGTTGTTGTTGCTGCTGTTGCACGTCACAGCACGAGCGGCGATCCGTGACGATCGGTAGGCAGATTGGAAGCCCGTCCACGACGACGACCACCGCGTTCGCCCAACGTTCGACTTGACAAGAGGAAGCCACTGCTCGACACCGGATCCCCTTGTTCGTGCGCGCCTTGTCGTCCGCCTCGAGGCTGCCTCTCATGCGAACGTCATCGAGATTCGTCGAGGCATCGACGCGACGTTGGCTAGATCCGTGATCCTCGTCTCCGTCGGTGTCCTCGTCGTCGTTGTCTCTCGTCGTACGATTACCAGCGGTCGCATCTGTATGACAAATCATGTTTCACAGACTGTGTGGAGGTTCTCGCATTCTCTCTACCGTCCCCGGTCCTAGTTCTCCGCTCGAAGCCAGCATGGAACGATGCGAGGATTGTCCCCAGGTGTTCCTCGAAACCGACCCTCGACGAGCTTCTTCCTCGCGTCCTCGATATGGCGGCTGCGAGGTTAGAATGTGCGCACTGCTCTCCTTCGTTATACTCTCTAAACTGATGCTCCGATTCTTCCCCCCTCCTCTCTCTCTCTTATACACTCTCTCTTCGTATCGTCGTGTAACGGATAGCTCCTCTCTGATCGGATTTGTTTACCCTGTTTCCTCTGTTTTGATGGTCGAACACCTCGCGAGGTATCGAGGTTTTCGAGCGGACGAGGCGGCCCAGTTCACGAGTACATCGATTGAAAACGAAAACGGGTCACGGGTGCCGTTGGTGCACTCGTTTCTGCCGTACACACGAAGCCCAGGTTCTTGAACTTTGCAGGAGAATACGCGATTCTATACACGGCAGACGTAGAACGCTTCTGCCGTTTAAAGAGAGGGGCCAGTCCGCGTTTCAGCACGAGCCAAGTGTCGCGTTGACGGCCGCGCGACCAATCGGGAACGATGCGATAATAATGGCTACGTGGTCATGTTTCTGTCCTTTTGTGAAACGGTTTTCGGAATTTCATACGGTCGCGTACGGAAACGGATGTCACTGGATATCTCTGTATTGGGGATCTTTCTTCTTCATTTTCGTATCGTGAACACAGAAAAAACACCCTTCTTTCTTTCTTCCTCTTCCTCTTTATCAACTGTGTAAAACAACTATGCAACCTGTCGAGTCACGGTGATAATCGATTCCTTTCAAAACGTCGAGCCGCGATCAACAAAATTTCACAAGCATCAGTCGAGAATAGATTAGAATTTTTCTAAAAAGAAAAGGGACACAGGACGCGATAATTCGTGCGAACGCGTATACGCGATCGTTCGAGGAAATCGAATGCCACGTATGCCGATGCTTTCGTTCCACACGATATTCTCAACGCTACAAGTATTCTCTTCTCAATGTTTGCGATTCACGTGGCGGCCGAGACGATGATGGCGCTCTTCGACGTCTCTGCAGCGACCGCGACACCCACACAATCAATCGCCCTAGACCGGATTGTTCCACACCCACGAGAGACGTTTTCTCAGCTGACCGGCTGTTCACGAAGGTTTTCGAGCCGCGTTCGAACGATTAACACCTCGCCTCGTCAGCTGTTCCCCTCATTCTCGAAACCCCAAAGACATATATTATTCCCACGGAAATATGGATTCTCGGCCTTCTCTCTTTCTCCTCGTTCCGTTCCTCGTCAAATGTAAAACGGTATCACTTACGGCTGTTATCGCAGCTTACTCTCTCTGCCCGACTCTCGGTTTATCGTTTCCTCGCACTGATTACACACGCGAGTACACGTTAATAACCGTTTCGAGTACGGTGGTTACGGCGTATGGCGAAGCGAACGATATTCTCTCACTTCCGTGTTTCAGCGGTTCCCTTCTCGCCAACGCTCGACGCTAGAACAACACACGAATGAGCTTATTCCACACCCCTAGCGCGCTTATGTCCGCCAACGCTCCGCGATTGGTACTACTCTCACTGACGGTTCGGTCTCTCCTTCTCGCTCTTTCTCCTCCTCCTCCACTGCTCTCTCTCTCTGTCTCCCTTTCACCTTTTCTCCCACCGATTCACCTCACATCTTTCTCCCTCTACCCTCCCTATCTCTCCCTATCTCCTTTCTCCTTTCCCTTGTCGATCTAGCTCCGCTCTTTCTCTCTTTCTCCCTCCCCTTTCTCTTCGTCCCTCCACTTGGCTCGCGCACGGCACCGCCTGCACCTCTTGCCAACCCTCTTCGTAACGGGCTGAAACGAGGAAACCGGTCTCCGCGAAGGGGGCTAATTTCCGGCCGCGAATCGACTTCCTGTGAGGATTCTGGCGTCGAAATCGCGCGACCCACCGACAGGCCCTCGGTTCCATTCGCTGTCGTGCATGAAAAAAGGAGAAAAAAAGGAACGGGAACCGAGTCAAACCACCGAGACCGCGGAAGGCTCGACCCTCCTTCGTGGCTCGTGCTTATGTACGACCGCAGTTGCGCGAACCGCTCACACCCCCTCTCCTATGTGTTTGTCCATTCGGGACAACTACCCGGTCTGCAAGGAATTCGGCTTTCTTCCATTCCATGTGGCAGACCAAGGTGGGGAGACAGAAACACGAAAGGACGTTTGTCGCTCGCGAACACATCCATTTTTCTGTATTTTAGAGGGTTGTGCATCTTCCTCCCTCGATGATGGTTAAAGCGAATTCCATGGAGTTGGATCGCTGAAAAACGTCCATTCATGCGGTCTTAATAAATAATGGGATGCGGTGTATGTCCGAACCAATAAGGACCACAGGCCGCACTTACGTCATGGAAAACTTGGTATTGATCGCACCCTAGGCCAATGGGGTTCATCGCCGCAACGGTGTTACTTTTGCCGTTCTGGCGGTGAATTCGAACGCCATCGAACGCTATCACGGTCATCACTGTGACCCGGGAAAATATGAATTTTCTGGATTAAAATTGGGAGAGTCGATTAGTTTGAAAAATTATATCAAGGAGGATATCAATAATATATGAAAATTTATGATATATGAATTTGTTTCAAGATCCGATTCGATGAATTTAAATTGTTAAATGAATGATGAAATAGTTATTAAAATGATATAATAGGTAAAATGCGAAATTTGCGATTTTTGCAGCATTTGGTTGGTCCGACGTAAAATATATTAACACTACTAGTAACACGGTTGACTAATAATGATAATAGTCACTGTGTTAAAGAGAAACGTTGCTTTTTCTTTATTATAAAATTTAACAAAATATTAATTTAATCGGATAAAAATAATTTCCTAAGTATTCTATGCAAATTAGAAAGAAAATTACTTTCGATATTCGACATAGATGATATATTAAATATCGATCGATCAAGAGCAATATTAGAATTAACCATCATCAACAACCATCGTCTCAAAATAGTAAATTTCGCCAACCAATTTCGTATCTGTTTTCGTAGTATACAATAGTATTTGAATACGCAAGATTAATGATATCTGGATCAATGCCAATGATATTAAAACATATCTTTCGTATACGAGAACTAAAATCAAAGTATTATTCAATTTTATAAAGTAAATAGATTTTTATATACAATCATAAATAATATATATTCTTATTTTTTTTTTTTTTTGTCACACAGACCTGAATTTAATTCAGGTTGACTTTACATTCAATCGCGTAATATTCGATGTAAAATCGAATTTACAAATTCACATTTGTTTTCGCACGTTATATCATGTTTTGTAATAATTATAACATTTGTTATAAACGATGATATGTATAAATATTATTTGTTAAGCGTATTACAAGAAAAAAATTAAATCCGAAAAAAACTAACTTAAAATAAAAAATTGTACTTAATTTTAGAAATTTGGCACATTAAAATGACATAATTTATAATAATAAAAATATCGTTGAAATATAATATAAATGTTAATGATATAGAATAAAAAATAAAATAATATAATTATAGATTGATATAAATAGTTTTCATCTATTTTTTAAAAAGAGCACTTTTTCTCAATTTCATTCAGAATACACTTCCATATTTGTTCGAACAATGTCACAACGCGCATTAATATTTAATTATATTCATTTAGTTATTTACAAGTATAATTTGCAAACAGATTATTGTTATATACAAATATTGTACAAATTATTGTACAAATCGTAAAGTGCAATACGATGTATTCATATTGGTTATACTCCACATAAAATAAGACCGATGTATTTCTAATCTGATCTTATAAGATATATATATATATATATATTTATGTCATAAAATTATTGACATATATATACGACATAAATATATACATTTCAATAATTTATTTTTTATCTTCCTATTTGGTGCATCGTAAAAATAAACTCAGTTTTGTAAATTAATTTATTACGCTTCATGGAAATCGTTAAAATCGGTACGATATATGTTATGTATACAACGACGTAAAAAGAGTTCGTACTATATTCTCTATAATATATGTATACAATCGACAATCTTTCATCATTAAATTTCACTATAAATTTCGAATGTGCATTTTACTCAATCATGTACATTGATAAAAAAAAAAACATATACAATAAAAAAGTAAAGACAATAAAAATTCTATCATATTTGTTTCACATATTAATATACTTTATAGGAAATTCAGTTAAAATGTTATCAAAATCATGTAAATTCTATCAAGTAATATTTACTTGATATTAATATTATTTGCATATTAATATTTCCATTTCTTTTCCTTTTATATAAATTTAAAACATTTCTGTTTATCATGTGGAATTCTCGTTTTAAACAATATCGAGTCGGCTCGATATTGAGTATTTAAAAGAGGCATGTATCCAAAAACCTGAAAGTATTAGAATTCTTACAAAATGTTTATTATATTTTACTTCGTATTTCATTTTTAAACATACACTTAAAATTGTAAAAAAAACTTAGAATATGAAAATAATAAAACTTAATTTACCTGAGAGAAGAAATTGATGCATTTGTGCCTTTCTTGAAAATGCGTATCATCTTCCGAAAGAGAAACAGGACAACCAGGACATCTAAAAGTCCATCGAGATGTGACCTAAACATAAGAAAAATTAAATTAATTGCTAAAAGCATTCCGAAAATAAATATATTGTATGTATATTATAATCACTTTAACAGGTGGTTTTCTAGTAAGATGAGATATCAGAAAATTCATAGCAATATCTTCGCAATTCATATATTCGTCAACTTTGTCCCGGATTGCTTGTGGTAACCAATGCGTATATAGATATGTATAGTGTTTATGAATAAATGCAGCACCAGTCAAAACCATTGATAATTCGCACGAATAATTAGAATTGTAATTCCAAGCATTGTGGTAATTCTGGTCCCATGCATGAAAGCGGCCGGGAAATCCAACAACACGATCTCGATGTTCTCTCCATACTCTGAATCCGAACATAATTTCGTCATGTCGTAAATGAGCATCGTCGTCTACTGAAAGAACAGCTTCCGTTTCGATAGCATCAAATGGTAGAAATCTATTATTTAAACTGTTCCTTGGAGCCTTGATTACCTACATATAAAAAATTTATTTAATTTTATTCAAAAGAATAATATATTATAAGAATTCTAGTAAGAAAACTTACATGAATTGGTACTCCAATGTCAGGCCATTTTAAATCTTCCATAGGTGGTTTTGGACTATTCCATACTACTAGAACTTTATTTAAATATGGTAATCCATATAATCGAGCCAAAGAATTTATAAGAACTTGTTCTCGTTCATATGTCAACATCACAATTGTAAATTGTTCTCTGGGATAATTTCCGCCTAGAGCTTCGCTAAATTCCTTACCCGCACCTCCAGCACCTTTACCAATCGGCCTGAATCCCATTTCAGAACCTGTGATTAATAACGTTTTAAATAAAATCATTATTTTAGAATATTGTTATGTGTTAAAAATTGATTTACCAAGAAATTTTGCATCGCTAGGAAGGACGGTATCAAAAGGTAATTGCGGATATAAATAAAATGGATCCACCCAATCATTCCAGATTTCATGACCTTGAAGTAACATTGTAGTATAATTTCTTTTAAATGCAGGAGATGGATAAGGTGGTTCCAGAGGTCCTAAACTTTCTTCTGCTTCTGGTTCAGCGATAATAGTATCAGATTTTAAAGGCTAACAAAAAAAAAATGTAATTATTACATTTGTATGATATAAAATATATCAAATCTCTGTATATTATAATATATATTTACCACAAAGCTTTCATTAAAGACACTTGGACTGGCAGTTTGAGGTGCTGGCAAAGGTGGTATACCAAGTCGATCTCTAATTACAGCTACAATAGTATCTACCGCACCTTGAGCAGTACTTAAATAACGTTCCCATATTAATCTACCTTGTCTACGCATATTTAAAAGATCAGTGTCGAGAACCGCACGTAATAGGAAATGCATTTCTGTTACCCTGGCCTAAAATTCAAAACAAATCTAATAACCAAAAGCAATATCATATTAAAAATGTCATATTTATACCTTTGGCAAAAAGATAGCTGCTCGTCTCCAACTGATAACTTCACTATAACTTAATAAAATTTGATCACCACCTAAAAAAACTGGGATAGAACCCGACCGTAATGCTTCATACAACCTAGCCTGCATAGATGAAGTGGTTACAAATGATGTATTACTAGGAGCTAAAATTAAAACAAATGTTGATTCTTTCAATATAGCTTTTCTTGAAGAATCTGTTCCACATAAAGACCAGTCAAGTATTTCTACTACATTTTTCTCCTCAGAGGCTGGTATACATTCAAATTGAATAAAAAATTTATCCAAAGTTAATCCTGTACTCATATCTTTAAGATGTTGTATAATAAAAGCATCCAAATTATTCTCATCAATTGTTAATTTTTCTATATCTATATCTGTATCATCAATTTGATGTGTCATGGTAGTAATTTTTGGAGATCTCATTTCTCCTTGAAAAGATAATAAATATTTTCTTCTTGCTGGCAACATCTGTGCACATTCTTGCCAGACATCACCACCTGGGGGTCCTAAAATTGGCGGGACAACTAAATCAAATCCCTCGCGAAATTGATTTCTAAAGAATGTGGATTGTACTATTATAGCTCTTCCTGTATCTATTCCACTAAAAATATCACCAGATTCTACAGATAAATCTCTACGCGCTAAATTTAATAAAATATGATTTCTGCCATCTCCACCCCAATATGGGAGTGCATGTAATTTTTTTACATCTATAGGTTTATGAAATTTTTTATCTACTTTTTGTTGAATAGAAAGAGCTTCCCCTATGAGTACTATATATATACAAGCTTCAGCTGCATTTGTAGTGAGATGTGGATTGTATCCTGTAATAAAATAAAATAAAAAGAATATATGGATATTAATATAATATAATATTATAATTATAAATTATTACTTATGTTATAATTATTATAACATTTTATATTTATATATACCTAACGTTTGTTTTATAGTAGTTTTTAAAAACCCATCAACATCCCATCCAGAATTTACTACAGAATACTGATCAGGATCATACAAATATACTGGAAAACCACTAGTTAATGCACATCGACTGTGATCAAAACAATTATACATTCTACATGAATGTGGTACAGTATTAGGTAATACTACAGGAACAGAATCCATTAATATACGTTTAGGTGGTGCTAATTCTGGTGTATTTCTTTCCACTGCTTCTCTTTGAGCTACTTGTGCTTGTTCAACACTGATCTTTAATCTATCAAGATCAGTTTGTTGATGCAATAATTCCTGTTTTAATTCATCAATTTTTTGAGTTAAACTACTAACTTCAACTTGAAGTCTTTGCCTCTTTGCACTCAGATCCCTAAGTTCGTTATTTACAGAAACTTTAATACGCAACATTTCCTCTATTCTCATCTTCAATTGAGAAGCCTTCATAGGAGTAAAATCTTCAAAAGCCTCCAGTGTGGAGAATGTACGATAAATATCTTTATCTGGGGAATCAGATTCCACCTAAAAAAAATATATAAAATTAATATAAGATTTTTAATCAATCATAATATATTTCTATTTATATCCAAAAAAAATACCTTTGATAAATAATAATGAGTGAATAATGGTACAATGAATAAAACAGCAGATGTTAACATTATAATTCTAGACAATTTAATATGTGTTATCCAATGACAAATTTCTCTACCACTTCCATTTTGATGGTATAATGGAAGTATTTCGAATATACTTCCTCCCATCATGTTATAGATCATTCATGTTTATTTAAATTTCAAATTAATAAACTTATTTTATAATTATTTAACAAATTCCTGCTAACACATTAAGAAGATATTTATCATTAAAAGAAACACACAATCTTATATTTAGTAGTTTTATTTCACAGAAAATATTAACATCTTTTTATAGTAATAGTATTTTACAAATATCAGAATTATAATATTAACAAATATATTTCTTACCAAAAACATGATAATTGTAGAATTTTTATTGACATTATTGATCAATAACCTAAAAAGAAGATATTCTTTTTTCACATATTTTAAAATCGCAATCGAGTATCGTTACAAATAAATCATTAATATTATTATAAAAAACTCAATAAGTGCATTTTATTTTATATATACACATTTTCATAAAAAAATAATTCATTCACATAAAATATGTAAAGAGAATTGTCAAAATCACAATAAGATCAAAGAATCACATGGAGACAGCAATTTAAAAAACAATATCAATATTAATAGTGCTATTTTTTCATTAATGTTTATTCATTCTCTTTTTGACGTATGTCCTTGTAACTTCGTGTATGCATTCATTTGCGTGGGCCAATATTTACGATAGCGTTTTGTTGTTATTTCATGAAGACTTCATCCTTGACTTCTACCTAATACAAAAAAGAAAGATTTCGTACCGATGCCACCCGACGTAAAACAGAATCACGTGACATTTTCGATGTTTTTTTATCTTATTATGTCGTAAAATGTAGTATTTAATAATTAAATGTAAATATTTTAAATAACCCGCGATATTGTTCTCGAAGTTGCTTTCCTTTGGCAACGTCTGGTGGCATTGCTTATAGTCTTGTTGGTGTATTTGCATTTCTCAGGACCTTCACAGAACATGCGCATGTTCATGTCAAGTGTAGTGCAAAGGAATAATATTTTGGCTTTCGGGGGCCTAAAATTAGCTAAAATGGTGAGCTCTTAACAAATTTATGGATTATGTTAATCCAACGATCTTTAAAAACAATTTTGCTAAAAAAGTATATTTTGCTTTTTATGTTCTCGACAGTGTATTAAAAAATGTTAAAATAACCTATCATGAGTCAACGTTAATGTTCCCTTTTGCACTAAATACAAATCAATTTCGTGGCATATCTTGTGACTAATGACTTTGTGAAAAACTGTGCATGTATTTTTTATTGCAATAGATTATATTGTTATTTAGAAATTTTCAAATTTGTTAACATTCTTCGCTGAGATGTTACTCAAAGTAGTAACAGTACTCGTAATAAAATCTTTGTTTATGAGTTCTTTTCGAAGTTGATTTTGAAGTGTTATAAATAAAAAAAAATTTATAACATTAAAATGTATATATACAAGTTTGATAATAAATTGTTTATTTAACATAATATTTAATATTATATAATAGAAAACAGATTATAAATCTTTTTTATATTAATCTTTAGAATATATGCACAATAATGTATCTAATTTTTGTTGCAGCATAAGTTAAAGTTCTCACAAAGAGATAAAGTAAAGAAATTTATTACATTTACACATACTGGAGAACAAACTGCAATATATTGTTTAGCACAAAATGATTGGAAGCTAGACTTGGCAAGTGATAATTATTTTCAAAATCCTGAGGCATATTGTAAAGAACCAAAAAATACAGTAGATAAAAAGAAATTAGAAATATTGTTTAGTCGATATCAAGGTAATTTTATGATTCATTTTTTTTATATGTAATAATAATGCATATATAAAATTAAAAATATATTTAATATTTTCATAATATTTGATTTCATAATTGAAATAGATCCAAATGAGCCTGATAAGATTACAGCAGATGGAATAATGAAATTTTTGGATGATTTGGATTTAAGCCCTGAAAGCAAATTAGTATTAATAATTGCATGGAAATTTAGAGCAGAAACACAATGTGAATTTACTAAAGATGAATTTATGAATGGAATGACAGATCTAGGGTAAATCAAATTTTTTTATCTTTGTTTTAAAGTGTTTAATTTTGTTTTACATTATTTTAATATAGTTTTTTAAAATTATTTTCTAGTGTTGACAGTATAGATAAATTAAAAGCTTGTTTAAGTAGTTTAGAAAATGAATTAAGAGATCCTCAAAAATTTAAAGACTTTTATCAGTTTACATTTAATTATGCAAAAAATCCAGGACAAAAAGGTTTAGATCTTGATATGGCTATTGCTTATTGGAACATTGTATTAGATGATAAATTTAAGTTCCTGCCTTTATGGTGCCAATTTTTACAGGTAGGATATCTAATATATACATACATATATATATTATATGAATATTTTATATATATATACATGAAGTTCTTATATAATATAAATATTGATTAAGCCTAAAAAGGAGGCTTCCATATTGGTTAGGTAAATATTATGATACAAAGTAGTTAACACTATTTTTTAGGAACATCATAAGAGGTCAATTCCAAAAGATACATGGAATTTATTATTAGATTTTGCACTTATGATCAACCCTGATATGAGTAATTATGATGAAGAGGGAGCCTGGCCAGTACTGATAGATGATTTTGTAGAATGGGCACAGCCCCGAATTCGTCAGTCCCTCTAACATCTTTTTGTTACATCTTTAACTTCATATAAAACAAAGCTTTATTTATTCAATTATAAAATCGTATATTCTTCAAGTGAAACTTGATCATATTTTTCTGATAGAGCATCATTTTACTTTGTGTACAGAGTATATGATGAAGAAGCAGGAGTATTATAATTGTTAGGATCAATCTAATGTATAATAATTCTCTTTTTCTCTCTCTATAATGTAAACAAATTTATATACATATATATATGTGTATATAAACATATATATACATATGTACATATATACATATATATACATATATATAAACATATATATACATATATATATATATATATAATTCATAAAAAACAAATTGATTTCACAAATAATTAGAATTTCTGTATCATTTAATTTCAAAATTATAAAACTTAAAATTTTACACAAAAATCCCATTATTATACATCTGTCTGTACAAAGTAATATGATGTATAATCAGTTTGTTCGAAAAAATAATGACAGTGAAAAATGCTCAATTATCGACTGTATTTGCAAAATCTGAAGAAATCGCTGACTGTGTTCCTTTGCACGAATTTGGCTTCAAAAGGAGAAATCATAAGAAAGATTCATTTATATCATTTTGTAGATAGTAATTTCTAGAAATTGCGTTGTTAAAAATTGTTATTAAATAAATTTTACGACACTCTACAGAACACTTGTAATATACATACAAAAAAAAAAAAAGAAAACATAGAGAGAAAAATCTGTATTTTAAACAAAACGTTATTTCGGCACTGGTATACTTATCTTTTTTACTATCACCAATTTAAATGGTGACAGAAAAAGATTTGTTTCTGTTTTATTAGTGAAGAATAATATTTATATTGTAATTCTGAGATATAATAGCTGTTAGGGAAAATAATTAAGAATTTTTTACGAGTTTAAATTATGGGTTTCATTTATAATTATTGCAGATTGAATATATTTTTTTATAATATCATAAAAATAATGGATATAAATATTTATTGGTTTTAAAACTTACATAAATCAAATTGTTAAGTATATCAAATTGTTAAGAAAGCAAACAACTGATGAATCCTCATAACAAATTTTTTGTTATACTACAAAGTGTAGTTATTAATAACATTTTAAGTTTTATGTTTTCTTTCTACTTCACAATGCAATGTGTGTGATTAATGCTTTTGTAGCTTAGCAAAGTACACAAATTTTCAAAACTACTAATCATCTTAATTTATATATAATGCAAAAAGATTACAGAAACATAATGTAAAGAAATATATATCTCTGCAACTTCATGGTTAACAATTAAGAAATCAGAACATTATATCTGTTTAGGTATACTAACATTGAAAGGTGCAAAGTAGAGAATTAGCAATATAAAAAATATGTCGTCCAGAAATTTTGGATTATATTTTATAAGAATGTTAAAATAGTTAAAATGAAGGTTCTGATATATGCATTCATTATAAAAGGAAGAGTCCAGTAAAATGTTGTCAAAAATATGTTTGTGCAATGCAAAAAAAAAAATCACAATGTACATTACATTCATTTAAATGATATTAAGAAAAATACGATTTTCAGATTTAAACTACGTTATTTTTTTAATATTTTATGCATTGCGCGAACACTGAAAGATTGTAATAGTTTTAGGAAAAAATTGTACATAATGTAAATAAATCTGTCAGTCTTAATCTACATAGTATGTGTAATTAAACAAAAAATACCGTAATCATTATATTATAATATTTAGTTTCAAACAAAACTATTTAAATATAACAGTAAAATAAATTTTTACTGTTATATAAAATAATTTTTAAACTTATATATAATTTTACTTTTTTTTAGTATTTTTGTATAGCTTTTAAAATATTTACATATGCACACTTAAGTGTGTAGAAAAGTAAGAATTATTTTACTAGATTATTGTTTTCTGCAATGACTGCCACACTTGCATAAAGGATTACAGCCACAGCATTGTGAATTGAATGGATATAAAAATGCTAGCTCATATTGATTTGCTTCTGTATTGTAACATTCATTTAATATATCCTCTGTGTACCAATTGCATAAATGTTCCAACTTGTCTATAGTTGTCTACATTATTTTTTTTACTATTAATATGACATGCATTACTATCATTTAAAAAATATTGCAATATTTATTAAATATCAGTCTTGTTATATATAATTATAAATCCTTACCTGTGCAATAACTAATCCCCGATTTGGATTTACAATTGTACTATGACTGTGAGAGTCAAAAAAAGTTACCTATAGACAAAATTTTTATGAAACAAAATTTTTATAGACTTCACAAAGCTGTTCTTACCATATTTTCTTGAAATATGAATAGTACTGTACGTCCACAGGTAATAAGAAGCATAAATAAATTCTTAGATCTTGGTGCTAAGTACCATTTATGTAAAAAATCATTTATATGTTGATATAAACCGTTTTGAATCCTTTCATAAAATACTTGAAATGTCTATAACATAATTGATATTTTAATATGTCAATATATCTTATTTTATCAAATACATAAAAACATTTTAAATCGAAAAATCATCAAAGAAAAAACAATAGAATATGTTTAATTTGTACCCATTCTCTTAATAGATTTAAGTTTCTGCCTCCAAGTTTTAATGCTTCTTCTGTACTAAGATACGGATGAGAAACCAAACCTTTCTTAACAATCCATGCATGAATGTTATTACCTTCTATCATAGCTTCAGCTATGATAGCAATAAATTGAGGAGATTTTTCTATATTATATATTAATAATCCTGTCTGAGATATTCGTTGAGCAACAAGAAGACAAATCAGAGTACATGCTTCACTAACTAGAATAGAAAATTATATATCATTCGAAATTAAAATATAAAAAAAAATTTTTTTTACTTGTTTGTCCTGGAGGAAATCGACTTTGTGAAAATTCTTGATTATACCAAAGTACTACTACGCTATTTTTAAAATAGTTCTTCGTATACGAAGAAAAGTAAGATTTGAGTAACAGCGATAAGGACATAACTTTTCATGGAACTTTCAGTTGATATGCCATTTATTACTTGTAAATTTTATATGTGAAAGCATTTTTTCTTATCTTGACTTACAAAAGATTTCATGTTTTGTCTATTAAGAGCCATGAAGCTGGTCGAATAACGAATTTGTTTTTGAATTCACACAAATCAAATTAAAAAGTTATAATGCAATGTATTTATGTACACACCTTCATACTGATAAAACAAAATTAAAATCTTATTATGTTTACAATATTGTATTCCGAGAACAAGATATTCTATTCTTTTTATAAAGTCAATATATCTTAAATATAAATTTTCATTAGTGCATTTATTATTTATATCTCGACTTGTAATCGTACATTATTGGCATTCCATCAATGGCATGCGCAATGCATGTTATTTAATTATTTTCCAATTATTGAATTTATAATATTTTTGTTACATTATGTGAAAAAATATGAATCATCTTTTACATTTTACATTCATTATAAAATTCAAATAGAGTTTGAATTATTTTATCTCTTTCATTATATACATCGGCTCATACTTAACACTTATTGCATAAAGTGAAAAAAATATCCGTTATATATAACACAATGACAACAAAAACTGAGTATATTGTATATAGATTTCACAATCACACAAGTCATGTATACAATTATAAATAACAGAATTCAATAAGATAAAGTTACTCTATGGATATAAAGAAAATACCTGTATGTATACATATGTATATATATATAATATATATTTATTTACATTTAATATATTGTAAAAATGGAAAAACCTAAATGATTTCAAATGATACATATTATGTTAGTTGAAATAAATGTTCTCAAATAACATATTATAGTTCAAAGATTTTAATATCTAAATTGATAGTAATTTCTATGATATTCGACGCTTCTTTTTTTTTTTTTTTGTATGCGTTAAGCATCATAAAAATGCACTATTAGAAACAATGATATTTTTGATAATAATCTTTTTGTGCAAGTACACATACATGTATTGTCATATTTTTTAACATTGTCCTTGATGAATATTAGCAATGTGCTTCGATTTATTTATTACATATTTTATATTATTGCCATAATTTTTGCTTCGTGATTCATTAAAATTGATTAAGCGTGTTACGATTTTTATAAAATAAATCATATGTTGCAAGTATGAACATTATTTAATTTTTTATAGTTAAAAATTAAAATATTCTTCTAGAGTCACATTTTTTCTATATATATATTTTTTAATATGAACAAAATTATATTTTGCTAAGTGTATAGTACACTTGAATGACTCACAGAAATATTTCTGTTGTGGAGATGCATTGGAAACTGTCTGATAGTTTCCTTTGTCAAAATATCAAATTAATCTTATCATACCTAAAAAAAAAAAAAAATAATTATATATTTATATTTCATCATATTTTACAATTTTATTTTAAAAAATTAAATAAGTATTATTTACTGTTGATCAAAACGATCTGAATGAAGGAGGATAACGTGACGGTATACTCGTATTAATATGACGTGATAAATGTTCCCATCCTAAGATATTTGCAAGTTCTATACATTTTTCATCAACTTCTTTTAATGGATGTTCTTCATAATAACGTAATAATAACTTTAAATAGCGACCATAATGATTATTAATATGGGCATGCCATAATGAGAGAGAAATGACCTACAATTAAAAAATAATAAATATTTTAATTTTTTAATATATATTATTTAAATATGTAATATACTATTTAATAAATAATGCAATTATAATAATAAAACTTCTTGCCTTAATATCAGTTGGTTCAGCAAATTTTTGTACTTCTTGCCAGTGATGTGTTACACTATCTAATAAATGTTCATAAGATTGACGATCTCCCTCTCCTTTCTTTGCACTGTGTACATATAATCGCGATAATGCACATCCTTTCTTCACTAATGCTTTTATTAACTAAACTTTTGTTTTTCCATAGTTGCCCTAATCTTTGTTGCATCATCACGTTGATCGCTTTTCAAGCCATAATAAGCTAAGAGTTTATCTTGATCAATATTAGTAATCACAGCATCTGCGACACTTATTATTTGATTTGCCAGAGAAACAGATTCTTCTGAAATATCATCATGGGGTACATGACGCCGAGCTTCAGGAGAGTCCAAGGAAATCAGCATGGCAGTGTGAACAGGTAAATGATCCGAGAAGAGATTTTTCAATTCTCCATATAGTAGATTTGCATATTCACCAGGTTCTATTAATAATAATTTAAAATCAATTAATTTTTAATGTAATTACAAAAATATGAACATATATTTCTATTACAAACAATAGATCAGGCTTTTCATAAATATTTGAAAAAAATTAAAGTATTTAATTATTTTTATGTTAAAATAATATTGATAAATATATAATAAATATTTGTCCACTTAATTTTTTTTAACATCACAAAGGAAGAGAGATATTAAGATAACTTATTTGTTATACATTACATAATCGTGCATTGACATAAAACAAGTGAAAATATAAAAAAAATTGATATTAATATTGATATTGATATTCAAAGAGGGTTTTAAAACAATATAAGGTTTTAAAACAAAATTCAAAATTGACGTTTTATCGCATTCTAATGACTTACTCGTAGAAGGCGCTATTTGTAGAATTGAAACCGGAAAGAAAAACAAAATATTTATATGATGATAGACTTTACATAATATATAATTATACATAACTAACAAGATAAATGAAAAATTACCAAGTTTTGTAAGCCAACTGCATTTGAAATCCCTAAGTGCTTCATTATATTCATCCCATTTAGTAGGCTTTTCTTTGTTTGATGAATTGTAGGAGCTACTGCTACTACTGCTGCTACTGCTACTACTAGATTTCTTGCTTGGTTCAGACAAAATGTATTTAAATGTGTGACAATCCACTTTTTTTCCGTTATCATCTTTGCAGAAAGTCAATGTACCCTGTAAATAGCTACCACTTCCTAAGGTAATACCTCTGGAAACTCTTTAAAATAAAACAAAAAATTAGTTTCTTTTTAATTACATAAATATTATTGTTTAAGTATCTCACTACAGAAAAACAAATGTATAACTAATAAATTAGGATGAAAAAAAATGCATAACATTTTTGTATTTAAAGAAACTATTTAAAAAAGCATTATGTATAAAGAATAAATACATATAAAGCAAAATTCAAATATATAAAATTATATTAAAAATACTAAAAAAAAAAAAAAAAAAAAAAAAAAACTTACTATATAAGCCAAAGAAAGCCAACTTTATATGATTAATAAATATGTTGATTTTTTTAATTAGTAGAATGGTGCAATTACATGTAAATTTGTTTAAATTATAAGCAATAGATAAATAAAATTTTCTAAAAATAATTTAACATAAATATTAAAAAAAAAACTAAATTAAAATGCTATGAAGCAATGCATAAAATAGAAATATCTATTAAAATTATCTGCTTCAATAAATAAATTTTTTTTTTAATCAAAGCATGTAAATGTTTAAAAATGTTTAAAAAAAAATACTATAGACTTACTTGTTTTCAGAGCTGCAATGTGGGATAAAAAAGGAAAAAAATTGAGTAATATTTTTAAAATGATTGATTTATATGAATAAAAATTAAAAAAATATAAAATAATTTGTATAAAATTATTTTATATTTTTATTGATAAATATGAGAAAAAGATAATTAATAACAAATTTTAATAAATATCTCATCTAACATGTTTTGAACATTTACATTTTAAATAGTGATGAAAATATTCATGCACCTTTTTTATTTGCATAAGAAAATAATATGCATAATATTAAATATGCAAAATGAATGTAGAATAATCTTAGAAAAAAACATATAAATTTATATAAATTCTAAAATAATTATATATCTTTTTTAACAACATATAAATAATAAAATTGTAATTTTATTATAAATAATATGAAAGAGACAAATTTATTTTAAAATAAAATACTTACTTGTTTTCATTAGATATAGGAGCAATATATAAAGGAAGAATATGACCAGGTGGAACTGAAGCTGCTATCATTTTTTTGCCACCAATAATAGCTTGTGATTGACTGGCATAAACATCTAAATTAATTGGATTACTTAGTTTATGACTCAAAAGAAATGGCATTTCTGTTAATCTATCAAGTAAATCTTTTTTTTCGTGACGTATATGTATCTTCAAAGTGTAATCGCCTTTTTCTATTTTTTGATTAGAATACTGTAATAAAAGATAATAAAAGATTATTTATTTTTTAATGTATTATTTTATAAAAATCACTTACTTTTGATGGATATGCATCTCCACAACAAATAAGTTGTTTATTACTATCATATATCATCCACATTTGACTTTCATATTCACTTTCATATAATAAATCGCTAAGTAATGCTGCATTTGGAGTTATTTCAGTTGCCTTTGCACAATGGAACGTATATGTTAATTGTAATTCATAAATTTGTCGCGAAGGTGGAATAATATCTCGTTCTCGTAAAGGTGCAATCTTTGAATCAGTGGGCCTATCATATCAGAAAAGAAAATAGAATTAAATTAATTATTTTCATTGATGCATATCTTGTACAACGTTTTTATTATACACACTTCAATATTTGTACGGATGATTTGAGACAAATACTAGGGACTACTTCTTCATTTCTAAGAGAACTTCGGACTTCTAAACGATTTATACCATCTCCAGATTGCATTGTAAGATTGCCACTTATCATACGAACACCATGAAATTCTATGACATAATCGACTAACATGTCACCTATATTTGCCCAATATTTCGCAATAACTAATTCTAAGATTAATCCGCCCTATGAAATTTTAATTTGATTTTTAATTAAATAAGAATTTAATTTATTAGAATGTATAAAAGAATTAACAATACCTGAACAGCAAATGGATGAACAATTTCTGATTGAGAAGTAACAGTAAACAATTTATTAACTTCGAGAGTTTTACAGGAGAGTCGAGGTTTCAGTTGAACGCTATGAATCACAAATCTTCCAGTTTTATCTTTTTCTGTGCTCTTTAATCTAACCACTAAATTAGATCATATTAATATCATTTATTTCATATATCCAATATTGTACATATGAAATATTATAGAAAATACATACCCGCCCATGTTGCATCTTCAGGAACGAGAATAAAATGTCGATAAATTGTATTCGGTTTAAATAAAATATTTGTGTAAGTTAAGTCTGGAAGAATCGCAGTTTTTGGCAGTGTTTGTGGTTGCACTACAGTTACTGGTATTTGGAACACTGGACCTTTTGCAATATCTGTTACATCATAAGCGCGGACACTATAAACGACGATTAATATTAATATTATACAATAAAATAAATATATAAGATTATATAAATGTTAATTTGGACATATTTACTTAGTTGTATGAACACCTTCGGGTAAATTGAAGCCATCGACTTTGATCGCAAATGCGCGAACCATATTCATTAAATCAAGATGTGTTGGAAAATGTACCCAAGATGCATCACATACCAAAGTTAATTTCAAATTGAAAGCAATTTTGAGTGCTGGATCTATAAAATTCAAATATTACAATGAATTATATTTGTAATATCTTATATAATGAAATTATAGTATTAGAATAACAAAATATATAAAGTTATACCAGTATTTTCGCTATTAAGAAATACAGGTTCAACAGTAATAGCATAATCTTTTGGTCGATCAATAATGCTACTTCTCATATGAATTCCTTTAGCATTATTTGGACCACAGTTAATGGTAAATCTTACATCTCTTTCAGGTACATCACAGTAAGTAATAAGATTATCGAATGCACGTTCGACTTGTAATAATCCTGAACCTTGTGCAAAAGGATCTAGATTTTGTATATAATGAGCTGTGTTTTCAAGAGCTCTTTTTATACTATATGGAGAATAAGAACAACCTTTAGCAACAAGCCCTGATATAAGTATTGCTACAATATAAACATTATTATTAACATTTTTCTTATTTGTAATATCTTATATAATCTTTATAAAAAAAAATCAATATACCAATAGCTCCAGTTACATGAGGAGCTGCCATGCTTGTACCATTCATGAGTTGACTTTTTCTTAAAGTAAAATTGGGAACACTAGTTATAGCTCCTCCTGGAGCACATACAGTAATTCCAGCTCCACCATCGATCATTGGACCACGAGATGACCACGTATACGACATACCAGGCATTTTTTCTCTTAAAGAATATTCAGCTACCATCATATCAGGAGAAACGTAAGCACCAACGCTAATCACACTATTAGAACTAATATCTGGTGGTGTGCCTATATATGAGTTAAAATGAATGGGATATATTAGATATTAAGTTTTAAATATATATTTAAGATTTTCAAATATTGTTATCAACTAACCAATAGTACATAAAGCAGGCCCAAGATTACCAGCAGATGCTACCCATGTTACACCATATTTATCGATAACTTCATTCATTAATTCTCCTATTCTTCCTGTATTGGACCAATGAGCATGTTCTCCATAACTCATATTTATTACATGTATTTTCTCTTTGTGTTTCATTACATGTATCATTGCACGTACTACTGCAGTTCCTGTTTCCATTGTACCAATACGACCATCTCCAACACTTAATGAAATAATTTGAGCACCAGGAGCTACACCATTTAATTCAGGATTATCAGGAAAATATGCAGCTGCAATTGAAGCTACGTGTGTACCATGACTTGCTGCAATAATAAAATTTATTATAAAAAAGAAGAAAGATTTTGGATTGAATCTTATCTAATACTTACAACATAAGCTAACAATTTCTAATGTATTTCCATCATCATGAATATTAATACTAATATTTAATTGATCTTCGGGTATAAGTGGTGCATACTGTCTTGTTATAGTGTATTCTCCTAGAAAGACACCAGTTTCCAAATTACCTTCTTCAGAAGTATCAATGCATGCTCTATAACAAAAAATATAAAAGATTAAATTAAATATCAATATTTGTAAAAAATATTTGAATAGACATGGAAATCCAAGAATATCCTACATATATTTTTACCTCCAAACTTCACCATCATGAAAAACAACACAGTCATAAGTAGGTCCTACATCCGAATATTTTTTCTCAATATTATTTAATATTTCAACTCTGGCTTCAAGTTCCTCTTTTTCTAGTCTTTCTTTTAATGTAGTTAATTGTGGATTCTTTGCTTCAAATTCCTATGTAGAATAGTTATATAACATAAAAATCAAGTTGCTTTTTTATTTATTAAAAATTACATGTTTACACAATATTTACTTATATTTTAATTAAATTTATTCTCTTGCATTTAAGCATACTATTATAAAGAAACATTGCATACTATTACATAATGAATCAATGGCTTTACAATAGATCAAACTGCCAATTATAAATATAGCATTAGATACAGATCAGTGTGACACATTGTGAAACTGGCCTCATTTTATTGCATGGTTCAACATACCCACAACAACCCTATCTTTGGATCAAATGGTCTAAAAGCCTATTTATTCTTATTCTTAAATATTAGTTATTTTAATATATATAAAATTAGTTTGTGTAGAGTAAATATACAAAAATATTTTATGTAAAAGATTAAGATTTCTTATTTTTAATATGTATATCAGTATAATCAAAATGCAATTATCTATTATTTACTTGTAATTGTCTAGATGCTTCTGCAAGTGCAGATTTATGATTATTATCCCATAAACGTTTTTTTCTTTCTACTAATACTCTTTCTCTTAGTTTTCCTGGATATAATGAATATAGATTCTTTATTCCAATATGATATTGTCCACTGGGATTTACCCAATTAGATGGAACCTAAAAGACAAATAATTTTTTTGCTTATTTATATAATTATGAATAAAATTAATAGTACTTAATATACATATATATATTGAAATATACCTTTAATTTACGGCCAGTTATGCCAATTATATATCCATCTGGTGCCTGTACAATTTTACTAGTATCTACATCTCCAGCTCCACTACAGTCATATCTTTCAATAATTTTTGGTTTTCCATCTGAAGTTTCCTATATGAAATATATATTTATTATAAAATTTAATATTTTATTTAAATCTAATTTTTCTTTTATTTATAATATTGTTGAACAAAAATTACTATATTATTTTGCAAAATATTATATTATTAATATTATACAATAAAAGATGTCAAATATAAATTTCTAATTTTTAAAAAAATGATCAAGACATTTTATTTTCCATCAGTTCATGATATACAATTTCATAAATATTCTTCAACATTTATTGTTCATACATTACATTACATACATTAAAAATTAGATATATAATTTAAAAATAATATGATTATATGAAAGAAATTTTTAGAATAAATCTTCAAAGCATAATTAAAAATAAGGATAAATTTAAAAAAAAATAATAAATATAAATAATGCCATTTACTATCAGTAACGTAAAATTATTCGAAATCTTTCACTTTGTACACAAAGAAAACAAAGAAATTTATAACGGAAACAAACGTACTTAGCAAACTAAGATTTTAAACAATATATATTAATATCATAAAAAATTAAGATACTTAATTAAATTAAAAGAAAAAAGAAAGAAGTAAAAGAAAATTAATTTTAATAATCGCGAGGCGTGTCTATATAAAAGCTTACTTACCTGCATACCAGGAGCTCCAGGATCAATTCCTGAATCAAAAATTGCAATGATGACTCCTCGACCATCATATTCAGGATATTTGGTAAGAAATTGAGTGACACCAGTTTCTTTTTTAGGTAAAAGACCCCAAACAGGAAAATTACAATCAATGACCTCTGCCATATTTCAAATACCACTGCCACCGCGACTCCAGAAAAACTACTTGAGATGTTTCCTTTGTACTGCCACAGCCTTATATATCAATCAAAAAACAGCATCTGCGCCTGCGTCAATGACTACAGAAAATTTTGAGGTTAAGTTATCGGTCCACGATACGTCAGACTAAATAGACAATAAATGGAGATAAGATATAGAATAGATCTAATATTCAAAATCATTTTTTTATCCCATGTCGCAGAAATACTTAGGATTCTTTTATCATTTTGTATATGTCATTCTCAATGTTACGAATTCCGTTTAGAATAAGATATAACAGTAATGATTGAAATTGAAATTAAATTTCAATGTAAAATAAAAAAATAGAATAAATATTTTGTTATAAAGATCCTGTTGCCTCGTATTCGATAATAATTAGTGTTTGAATAGTTAATTGCATGATTTAAAAATGTTTTACAAAATTATAAACTATAAAAGAATAGATTTGACAAACTTCGATAGAAAAAAAATAAATCTTCATAAAATATTTCAAAATTTCTTCCTATTTGCTTTGTAACTGGCCCAGATATTCATTTATTTAAATTCTATTGCTGCAGTGGATTGAGATCCACATTAAAAGTCGTTTCATATATCAAGAAATACTATTTTTTTGTGAGATGTCCTAAAAATATTTTCTAAAATTAAGAATATAATATCTATGTTTTTCATTAAAAATTGAGACACAGTTTTGAGAGAAAAATAATGAAAGCGTGTTCAATTGATATCTCGTACCTCATCTATGGTCACGCGCCAAGAGCAAGTATAGACAAGGAGAACAAATAATAGGAAAAGAATAGAGATAGAATAAAAATTCAGGAATCAGTACAATATTTAGAATGTCATAAATGAAACACATAAAGAAAGAACAGAAAATAATAGGCAAGGATAGAAATGGAATAAGAATTGATTATCAATGCCATCTCTTAAATGTCAAACACATTTCTTTAAAGGCGAACTAGAATAAGAATTGAATATAGCGCTGTTTTTTAAATATTCTATCTTACCTTTTTTTTGAAAAGTTATCTTGTATTTTTTGTTGTATTATCGATTAACAATTCCTATAGATCCCAAATGCATATACTTATTTATATTCTTATATGTGAAACATATATTACATTTTATTATATATTTTATATGTACATAAATTTTTTTTCTTGTAAATATATATATATATATATTATATGTAAATTAATAAATTATTATTATAATAAATTAAAACATACACATAATAAATGTTTCTTCTTTTCTTTATTATTCATCTCTATATTCTTCACTCACTTAAATGATTTTTAAATTATAATTAATATAATTTTTTAAATTTTAATCCTAATTACTGATGAAATATATTTTGCCGGTAAGTAAGATACCTATTAAAAAGTTTTCGATGTCAGCGCCATCTCGCGTTTGGATTCACGAAGCTCCGACTTGTTACTAGCATAACATGATATGCAAGGAGGTATGCGAAGTCATAGAGAAGGAACGCAATACT